CGATCTCCGGCGCTTGTCCCGGTCAGACCAGCTTTTGCCTGAAGGCCACTCAGCGGCTGGACTGTTGGGATGGAGGGGAGCCTAAATTCTCCGGCATTCTGCCATTGAAGAGGCTACCCCTCAAAAGCCCCCTGGCCTGGAGCCTATCACAAAGGCTCCGCAGGGGTGTCACTTGAGGTGACACCCCTCCATGCTGCTGGTGTGCGATTCGCCCTTCCCCGGTGTGGGGAGAGCATCCGCCATCACTGCTCCATAGACTGGAAGTCATAACCCATTGTTTTAAGGAAGGTACTTTAACTTGGTTCCAATTTTGGGCTATCAGAGATTTTGCTGCTGATAATAATATTGTAATCAATTCTCTTTTTTCTTTAGTTAAGGATAGATCTGTCCAAATATTAAGGAGCTTTATTTTAAGGAGCTATTTTAGTTATTAAGGAGCTAATATTAAGGAGATAATTTAGTTAATTAATTTAGTTAATATCGCTTTTTTCTTTAGTTAAGGATAGATCTGTCCAAATATTAAGGAGCTTTATTTTAAGGAGCTATTTTAGTTATTAAGGAGCTAATATTAAGGAGATAATTTAGTTAATTAATTTAGTTAATATCGCTTTTTTCTTTAGTTAAGGATAGATCTGTCCAAATATTAAGGAGCTTTATTTTAAGGAGCTATTTTAGTTATTAAGGAGCTAATATTAAGGAGATAATTTAGTTAATTAATTTAGTTAATATCGCTTTTTTCTTTAGTTAAGGATAGATCTGTCCAAATATTAAGGAACATTGCTTCAGGTGTAAATGGAAAATCATGGCCTATTATTTTTGAAATTTCTGCAGCAACAACTGACCAAAATTGATTCACAGTTTGACATGACCACCAACAGTGGAAAAATGACCCTTTCATACCACAACCCTTCCAACATACCGGAGAAGGTTTAAATTTACAGTGAAATAAACGGGAAGGTGTTAAATACCAACGTGAGTATATCTTAAAAGATTGCATCTTTATCAGCGAGTTGTTAGTAGTCATGAAATGAATTCCACATTTTAGACAAATTTTGTCATCAATTGGACCATTGAGGTCTTTTTCCCAGGCTTGTTGTGGAGAAGACCTGAGTGCCCAAGTTTTATCGTTAAGCATAGTATATATAATTGAAATAGCTCCTTTGGTGTTATTGCTAGACCTTAAAATTAGTTTCTCGAAGTGATTTAGTGCTCGAGATAAATCTGAGGATTTAACTATTTCTGTATACATATGTTTTATTTGTTGATATTGTAACCAGTTTATTTCAATATCATATTTATTCGGAAGTTGTTGTATGGTTGCAATTTTCCCTTTGACCAAAATATCACTTAATCTAAACATATTCTTTGCTCTTAGGTTGGCATAATCTGAATATAATCTACCTAGGAGTAACCAATGTTGACCCAGAAACGCTACAATGGGGGATACACCTGGGGTAAGTATATATCTATATTTCTCCCATATTTTCAATGTATGATGTAAAAATCTGTTGAAATATTTAGTTTAGGCCTATCTTTGGGAGCGTTCCAAATTGCTTCATGCATGTTGTCTGGTAACAAATGACTTTCTATTTGTGTCCAGGTTTTTTCACATTGGGGTTCAGCAAAATAAATTATAGCTTCGTTGAGCTGCCTCATAATATTTAACTAATGATGGTAAGGCCAGACCTCCCTTTGCAGGAGGTTTATTAAGTAAAATCATATTTAATCTGGCTTTTTTATTGTTCCAAAGGAATTTTGATAAACTAGTATTCCAATCTTTGAAATCTTTAATCGGAATCTCAGTTGGTAAATTTTGGAACAAAAAAAGAAATTTGGGTAAAATCATCGGTTTAAAAAGATCAATTTTTTCTAGGAGAGAAAAATGTAATTTTTGCCAATCTTGAAATGTAGTTTTCATCTTCTGTATCATGGCTTATATAGTTACATTGATATATATCATCCACATTCAAAGGTATATTATTACCAAGATGTTTCCAGTGTGTAGAGACCTGTTTAAAAGAATATTGCCTAGCCACTCCCTCTAGATCTTGAGTGGGTAATCATATAGGGAAAAGTTCAGATTTCGAGTAGTTTATTGAAAAGCCTGATATACACCCAAAGTTATTAATTTGTTGGATTTCCATGAGATTACTGGGTCCTGCATATAAAAAATAGCGTCATCAGCGAAGAGACTCATCTTACATAAGTGGGAGCGTATAGTTATACCTTTAATTGAAGGATTATCTTGGTATAGCATGTGCCAAGGGTTCCAAAGAAATAGCGAATAATATAGGGGAGAGAGGGCACCCCTGGCGGGTATCTATAGAGGTGTATTTTGATGTTCTGCACTTGCCCAGGGTTGTGTGAGCCTTAGGGTTGCCAGTCCCCGAACAGGGGCAGGGGTTTGCCTGCTTTTGAGGCCCCTGATCCACCAGTCCCAATCCACCCAACAGGGGGAACCCTGCCCCCAAAGTGCCCTGTTCACGCCAACATGCCCAGTGCAATGACATCACCTGGAGATGACTTCATCGCACTGGGCACATTGCGGGGGGGATGCTCCATTGTTCGAGAAAAAGAGATCTCAGACGAAGAGAAGGACACCCCCCCCACCGCTGCCAGCAGCTAAGTAAGACTGGCAACCCGAGTAAGCTTGCTTTGGATTGGGATCACAGAGAGAGGGAGGTTAGGCTTTCTCTCCTCCACTGCTTTCCTGATTTAAAACCGTCTCCAGAAAGTGCCATGTGCGCTGTTGTGGAAACCAATGTATAGCTCATCTGTTCACATATGCAGCCCGAGCATCATCATCATCATTATTATTAATAATTAAATTTCTACCCCTCCCTCCCAGCTGAGGCCAGCATGGCAAACAGTGTCCCTTGGGGCCATTTCAGCTTAGGAAAACAGCATTGGGGGGAGATTTAAGCTCCCTCTCCCTACACATGGTTTCAATACACATTGGGCCTCTGCATACCGAGAAAGCATGCAACTTCACAACACGCCACTCTACCTGAGCAGGGGACATCCCTAGAAAAAACAAAATGCAGAGTTAAGCCCCAAGAAATGTATGAAAGGCTCAGAGATCTGACCATGAAACAGTTTAGTGTGCTATCTTGGATTCGTATCACACAATCATGCAGTTTTAGTCATGGATATTCATGATAATGTCCTGATCTTTCTCCAACACCGCCCCCCTTTGGGAAAGCTGGGGAGTGGATATATGGAAGGAAAAACATTTATACATTGCATAGATTTCCACAGTCTCTAATCAGTCATGTTCCCTTTGGCAGCTCTCACCTAGTCTTTCCCTCTTGCTTTATCAGAAGAATTCACACACAAAAAAAATAGAGAGAGAGAGAGGAAAAATTGCCTACAATAGGCTTGTATTTCCATTAATTAAGACCAATTAAAATGCAAAATAGTATGCAAGCTTTTGACTTTCCAAAACTCATAATTGGGCTGGATGTTAAAAACAAAAGGGGCTGGGGGGTAGAGATGTTTCAGGCCCAGATCTTAAGACTTCTTAAGATATATGGAGAATGGCAGCTTCCCGGGGGGAGGGGGGGAACCAGTTGATCACATATCTCTCTAACATTAAAAAAAACCCACACACAAAGGCTCCTGAATATTTTCTTTGTAGTGGAGATGGGGAGGAGATAATTTTGAGCAGACAAACATCTGGAAAGGAGGGCTAAGCAGCCTGCCTTCCAGGTTATCCTGGGTTGTATCCATGTATTGATGGATATTGTGCTATTGTTGCACTATAGGAGTCATTTGCAACTGGATCAGCTTATTCACATGTGATAATCCAGTTATTAATGATCGCTAAAGTGCAGTGATAGTGGAACATCCATTGATGTCTGGATACCTCTTAAAAGCTGATAAAACAACCCTGGGGAAAGAAGGAAAGGAAAAATCAGGGAACTATATGTAATGTTCAGTTCTGCCATCATTCTGTGTACTAGAACACATAGACACAGTCAAACAGAACATCATAGTAATCATATACCTTCCACAGCTCTTATTGGCTGATTATTGTTATTATCTTTATTATACCAATGGGATGAAAGGAAGGCTCACAGTTATCATGTGTGCACATTGACTGGTACAGGAATGACAAGTCTATGTGTAGCAAATCACATTCGTGTTACTTGTCCATGAATATGGGGATTTACATAATTGGAATGAATTTTGTCTGGTTAGTTATGTCCACTGAAAGGAACAGAATAAAGCCAGCTTTTGAATCCTAGTATTCAACATAACTGCTCAATAGTTTCGATAGCTACCCATAACTCCAGTTCCAGTTCTTTGGCACCCTCTCCCCTCTCTTCATCAGCTGATCCAGATAAATCCCAGCTTGTCTTTACATGTCAGGAAAAATATAACCAAATAAAAATGGACTTTACTTTGCAGAGACTTGGGAGATGGTTACTGTGAATTATCTGATCCATACAATACCAGGGATAAGAAGATGGTTTATCCGAGATTATTCACAAGTCAGTTGGATACTGTTCTGCGTTATACCCCTGTGTTTAAATTATAGCAATATGTATACAGTAGCAACACCATCAATCATGCATAGGGCCATTGCTGGCAGAAAGCAGGCTCATTTTTTATTCATCTGTTGCATCAGTCTCTAGCAAAAAAATAATAAACTAATGCCTCTTCAAAGGCTACTCTACGGAATAGTACAGAGAATCAGCACAGATGCATTTATTCCCAACTTTCGGCCAATTTTTCTTTCCTGCTAACTGTACTGAACTTTTACGGGCTGGATTCTTCCTTCTGCGGGCCCCAGGAGCTGGCCACTAGAGCTGTCTATATCCCTCCCCCCAGCTTTTGAGATTCCACATCCTGACCTATTCCACTCCCGTTTGTTACTCTTTTTTTCACCTGCCACCTTTAATTTGAGGTCAATTGCCGGAAGGCTCTGCTGCAGCCACGTTTTTCACTACTGCTGTCTGCTGTGTCTCATTCCAAGGCTGGTCTTTGTTGCTACTTACTCAAAGGGGTCACTGGGATCAGCCCTCTGAAGCTCTGATGGAATTGGTATTCTTTTGTAGTACATCTCCCAGTCGAAAGCTCCACGCATGGCATCCCCTGCTTGTGCCTCATAGCCAAAGTGATTGTGGTCAATGACATCGATCATGGGACACACAATGGTTTTGTGGTTGAGTGCAATCTGATCTGAAAGACGAGAGCAGAAAATTATAAATGAAAAGGCAGGTCTCGTCAAGCCACCTATCATACTATCACAAAGTGAATCTCTCATCTATTTTTATTTTTGAGCTTGAAGATTGTCTCGGTGGTTCCCCATGGCCCTAAAAACATTTCAGTTTTCAAATCTGCATCAGGCTTCTATCTGAAATGGGCTTGATGCACTCGGCCAACGATTAAAAGCAATTATAGCTCTTCAAAGAGAGTCACATCCCAGTGAGACCTGCAGAAGTCAAGTAATCTGTATTTCTGTCATTTTGCTACTCTAAAGTGTCCCCAATCTGTCACCTAAGAAGTCAGCTAGTAAGCAATAACATAAAATGAAAACACTACTGATTTTAGCTTCAAGTGTGAGCAACAGAAACATGCTAGGAAAATGCTGCCAATTAGGAATATGATCAGCCTCTTGTGTAACTTAGCTTCTGCTCTGATAGCACTTGAGGGCACTGACTTAGTAATTCTCTTTTGAAGGGCCCATCAAATGCATTTTGACCTTGGTCCAAATTCATTGATTCATTGATGTGCTCCCTGGACTTCTTCATATCTTACATTTTGAGGTATCCTAATGATATACATCCCCTCATGGATCACTGCCTTGTCGTGGCGTGGAGGCTTGCATGGTTCAATGAAGCTGTGGGCTATGCCGTGGAGGGCCACCCAAGATGGAGAGGCCACAGCAGAGAACTCAGACCAAGCGTGATCCCCTAGAGAAGGAAATGGCAACCCACTCCAGTATTTTTGCCAAGAAAACCCCATGGACAGTATCAAAAGGCTAAAGATATGATGCCAGAAGATGAGCCTCTCAGGTCGGAAGGTGTCCAATATGCTACTGAGGAAGAGCAGAGGGCAAGTACAAGTAACCCCAGAAAGAGTGAAGTGGCTGGGCCAAAGCCGAAAGGACGCTCAGTTGTGGATGTGTCTGATGGTGAAAGGAAAGTCCGATACTGCAAAGAACAATGCTGCATAGGAACATGGAATGTAAGATCTATGAATCAAGGTAAGCTTGACGTGGTCAAAAATGAGATGGCAAGACTGGCTTCCGGTTTGATCTCTGTGAATGGCGGTCACTTCTTCAGGAGCTCCCGAAGGTGACTCGCCCATGCACGGTAAAGAGAGGGAATCCGCCCAAGCGAAGACCCTGAGGAGCCTCAGGGA